TCTGGGTTTTTTTTTTTTTTTTTTTTTTTTTTATTTCACTCTCAGACTACAGTTTCTCTGAATTTTCCATTTTTTCTCCTCTTAAAGACTATTTTTGGTCTCAGTTCCACATGTGGCTCTGTGTGTGGTTGCTATGTGTTATAATAATTGATGTGACACTTTTTCACATTGCTGGTATGGGAGAATTTTAAAATTTCATATGTAAATATGTAAAAGTTAACATAGAATTTGTACAGATTATTATAAAACTGTTATTGGATTTATTGGGAAGCATACTGACTCTCATAACTTGACCCAAAAGTGTTCCTGGGCCCGCATGGCAGGTCTAATACTAGGTTTTATGGTCAGTTCCTCAATTGCTATCAGTCTGAACCAGTGGTTTCCAACCCAGTATTACAACTCATTTTGAACATCAAAACCTGGATTCTTGTATAAATAGTAATTTTACTTTTTAGTACCCTTTAATTAAAAAACATATAATGATAAAAAGCTACCACAAACTCAGAAATGCTTTTAAATCATCCTGCTTATTAATAAAAATATCATCCATATACTTTGATAAGTATTAGTCTATTAATTTGTCCAACAGAAAATGGTTTCACTAAGCATGAAAATTCCCAGATCCCTTAAAATTCCTGCAACCCCTCATGGGGACTCAGGGTTGCCCTCTTCTTTTCTTTTTCTTTCAGTCTTCATTTACTTCTGACATATTGCCAGTCTCCTTCATGCAGACTACAAAATCACATTCTCCTTTACTTTTTTTCAGTTGCACTTTCATTTTCATGAACTTCTCATGTCCATTCTTCAGTATGTTCTTTTTAATTCAGTAAGTTCCGATTTAACAAACTTTATTGAGCACCTATTATGTGTCAAGTACTATACTAGACACATCCATGCATAATTTCATTTAACCTGACAGTAATTCTTCACAGTAACACTTTGAGGATGTTATTATATCACCACTTTACATGGGAGGAAATTAATGACTTGATCAGGTTGCAAAGTTTGTAAGTAAAGAAACGTGACTCCCAAACACTCTCTTGGAGGCTTCTAGTATTTCCACTGTATAAAATCTGCTATTGCATGTCATAGTACTCTCAACACCTATGTGAATCACATAGCAAGGTAGTAGCTCTTCCATACCAATTTCTAGTCTAGGTGCTAGATGAGAGCAATAAGATTGAGTTCCTCATATCAAGGTTCTTATAATCTAATAAATGTAATGAAGTTGTAGATTTTTAACCCATATCCCATTTGCCCTGAGAATACTCTTGTCTCTAATCCTGATAACATCATATACTTTTCTGTTGCACTAGGATTAGAGACAAGTTCTGTTTAGAAATAACTCCAGGAATAGTTTTTATATTTTATTTTCTTATTGAAAATCAGTCAGATTTGCTTCAGCCTCAAAGAGCATGCTTATGTGAAATTAAATGAGCATGGGCAGCAAGCTGCAGTTTTTTGTTTTCTGAACAGGAAATGGGTTGAAAGGATGACTGAGCACACATAAAAGCAACCTGTTACTGCAAATGTTATTTATCGGACCTTTTAAACAGTCAACTTTAGTTCCTTCTTATTCACATAAAAGGGATTTACTATATAAAACCAGATTCATAGAATAAAAGCATGCAGAATCAAATTGTAGAGATGCTATCGTTATTTCGAATTCAGCACCTGCTAACATCTTGCTAGGAACATGTGGCCTCTGTGGAAGTCTTTGTAACCAGGCAAACATGACATTGCCATGGCATTGTCTCTTGCAACAAAATAAGGCCCCAGTGTCTTCAGGGAGTTGAGGCCACTTTGGACTTCAGATCAAATTGGAGTCTAAAGAAGACAACCGTAAAGCACACCAGAGGCATATATGCACTCAAGCGCCCACAGATAGAAATATGTGGCTTCCACCGTTAGTATTCTATGTGCGTCATTTGCTCTTCTGCTAAGGTGTCTATTTTGTCTTTTGACAGAAGAGTAGAACTCTGAGAGCAAATATTTATCTTGGAAAGCATGATTAGCTTTTTATAACAATGAGGCAAACAACTCAAAAGAAATGAAGTAAGTCTGAGAGGTGGAAAGCTGTGTCTTTTCTGGCATGAGGAAAGGCTTATGTATGGAAGAGTGAACTGAGCAAGCGGCAGCAAGTATGCAGAAACTGGGTGTAGTTTCAACAGTGGAAATACTGAGATGCGAAGATGGAAATCATTCAGGCATGAGCATGTTAGGGCAAACGTTGCCAAAGCTGTTCCACATTTTAAGTTTGTATGAAAATACTGCCAGCAGAAAAGGAAGGAGGACATTTCTGCGCAGCCGAGACTTTCATCTTTCTTTTAAACGAGGTTCTCTTACTTCCCCAATACTTCCTAGTCTGGCACAAAGTTCTGAGCTGAGAATCAAGAAATGTGAGTTCTGGTATCAGATCTCACGTTAACTAGTAGGCTTACTTTAGGAAAGCCAAAGAATAATAGAATTACAGCCTTAAAAGAAACGTTAAAATTTTCTTAATCCTATCATTTCATTTTACAGCAGCTGTAATGGAGCTGAAACTCATCTGTGCTTTGGTTTTTCCAGTCTGTTGAATGCGTTGAACTCCCCTGCCTCTATCAGAGAATTGTAGTGAGGATCAAATGAAATAGGAGGTTTGACCATATGTTCTCCCTTATGAGTGGGACCTGAACAGTGAGAATACGTGGACACAGGGAGGGGCATAACACATACTGTGGGTTGGAGGTGGGAATGGCAATATGGAGAGAGCAGCAGGAAAAAGAGCTGATGCATGCTGTGCTTAATACCTATGGTATGGGTTGATAGGCACAGCAAACCACCATAGTATACTTTTACTTATGTAACAAGCCTACACACCCTGCACATGTATCCTGGAAATTAAAATGAAATAAAAAGAAACAGGAGGTGTCTCACTCTCATAACCTCTTTCTTCACTGAATTTGCTATTTAATGTTAGTCTTATTGTTTCATGGATTTTGTTCTATTTTTTAATTGTCTAGGCTTGTTTGTTACACTGCATTTGTATAGCTTTTGGTTTTACCCTGATTTTGAAGGCAAGGACCTATATTAAGTTGCAAATAAAGAACCCAAAACATACATCTGTAGAGCATTTGGTAACAACTGAACTTCACTATGTGGTTACCATACACCAGGTACTAGGCTAATGCAATGCTTAGAAGTTGATAGCATTGAGCATTGATCTATCTAAGGAAGCTGAGGGCCAGAGAAGTGGAGGGGCGGCCCAAGAACACACAATTGGGAAGTAGTGGAGTAGGGACCAGACTCAAATTTCTCAGGGACCAAAGCATTTACTTTTCCATGAAAACATGCTTGATTACGTTAAAATGATTTTGAAATGTTAGACATAACTATAATAACTATTGCATTTCCCCAAGGGACCTAGGAGATGGGTGCAGTCTTAACTCATTTCAGCATTAACTCAAAAGTCCACAGTTCCGTTTCATATGAGACAAGGCAAGTCCCTTCCACTTACGAGCCTGTAAAATCAAAAGCAAGTTGGTTACTTCCTAGCAATTGGGGTACAGGCATTGGGTAAAAACAGCCATTTCAAATGGAAGAAGTTGGCCCAAACAAAGAGGCTACAGGCCCCACACAAGACTGAAACCCAATAGGGCAGTCACATTTCAAAGCTCCAAAATGATCTCCTTTGATTCCATGTTTCTCCATGTCTCTCATCTAGGTCATGCTCATGCAAGAGGTGCGTTCCTATGGTCTTGAGCAGCTCTGCCCCTGTGGTGTTTTAGGCTGTAGCCCCCCTCCTGACTGCTTTCATGGGCTGGCATTGAGTGTCTGCAGCTTTTCCAGGTGCCCGATGCAAGCTGTCAGTGGATCTACCATTCTGGGGTCTGGAGACTGTGACCCTCTTCCCATAGCTCTACTAGGTGGTGCCCCAGTAGAGACTCTGTGTGGGCGCTGTGACCCCACATTTCCCTTTAATAGTGCCCTAGTAGTGGTTTTCCATGAAAGCCCCACCCCTGCAGCAAACTTCTGCCTGAACATCCAGGCACTTCCATACATTCTCTGAAATCTAGATGGAGGTTCCCAAACCCCAATTCTTGACTTCTGTGCACTGGCAGGCTCAAAACCACATGGAAGCTACCAAGGCTTGAGGCTTGCACATTCTGAAGCCATGGCCAGAGCTCTATGTTGGCCCCTTTCAGCCATGGCTGGCGTGGCTGGGATGCGGGGCACCGAGTCCCTAGGGTGTATACAGCACACCTACCCTGGGCCCATACCATGAAACCACTTTTTCCTCCTAGACCTCTGGGCCTGTGATGGAAGGGGCTGCTGTGAAAAACTCTGGCATGTCTTGGAGACATTTTCCCCATTGTCTTGGGGATTAACATTCAGCTCCTCATTACTTATGCAAATTTCTGCAGCCTGCTTAGATTTCTCCTTAGAAATGGAATTTTCTTTTCTATCGCATTCTCAGGCTGCAAATTTTCTGAACTTTTATGCTCTGTTTCCCTTTTAAAATGGAATTTCTTTAGCAATACCCAAGTTGCCTCTTGAATGCTTTGCTGCTTAGAAATTTCTGCTGTCAGATACCCTAAATCACCTCTCTCAAGTTCAAAGTTCCACAAATCTTTAGGGCAGGAGCAAAATTCCACCAGTCTCTTTGCTAAAACATAATAAGAGCCATCTTTGCTCCAGTTCCCTACAAGTTCCTCATTTTAATCTGAGACCACCTCAGCCTGGACCTTATTGTTCATATCACTATTGGCATTTTGGGTAGGTAAAGCCATTCAACAAATCTCTAGGAAGTTCCAAACTTTCCCACATTTTCCCTTCTTTTTCTGAGCCCTCCAAACTTTTCCAACTCCCATCTGTTACCTAGTTCCAAAGTTGCTTCCATAACTGCAGCAGCACTCCACTCTACCAGAAACAATTTACTGTGTTAGTCTGTTTTCACACTGCTGATAAATATCTGAGACTGAGCAATGTATTTACAAGAGAAAGAGGTTTAATGGACTTACAGTTCCATGTGGCTGGGGAGGCCTCACAATTACGGTGAAAGGCCAAAGGCACATCTCACATGACAGCAGACAAGAGAAGACAGCTTGTGCAAGGAAGCTCCCCTTTTAAAGACCATCAGATCTCATGAGATTTATTCACTATCACAAGAACAGCATGGGAAAGACCTGCCCCCATGATTCAATGACCTCCCACTGGGCCCCTCCCACAACACATGGGAATTCAAGATGAGATTTGGGTGGGGACACAGCCAAGCCATATCAACTTGTGCATCATCTTTTTATTTCCAGTGATCTAGAGATGTTCATTATGTTAGTTGGTAAACATATGCAGCTATTTAAACATACTTTTAAATTAAGAAAAATTAAATAAAATTTAAAATATAATTTCTTGGTCACTCTTGCCATGATCTTCTCAATAACTCATATTGCTAGTGACTACTATGTTGTCACTACAGAGCACATATGGAACATTCCATCATTGCAGAGTTCTACTGAATGGTGCCGATCCAGTTTCATGGAGTTATACAAGCTTAAGAAAACCGTTAGGTAGTTACATAGGCTCAAGAAAATTGAGTGTGCAGTTGGCCAGGATTTAGGAATGTTGTAATTTTTTCTTAAGACACAATTTTCTAGGGATGAGAGAAGGCGAAGTGGCTCTTCTGCTTTCTAGGGTATACTCTTTGAACATCAACTATTTACAAAACATCTTCTGTAAAAAGTGATCTAGAAGAAAGGCAAAGACAAGGGAAACCTTGAACATTAACACGTAAATCTGTGAAGGTGTTTTAGTTATAGATAGAATAATTGTATGTCCCAATTTACATGGGTTGTCCCAGTTTTCTTGGCATAATTATTATTATTATTATGCCAACAGTGGGTTTTTAATAATGGTCTTTATCAGGTTGAGAAAATTATTTTCTTTTTTTTTTAATTTATTTTATTGTATTTTAGGTTTTGGGGTACATGTGAAGAACATGCAAGATTGTTGCATAGGTGCACACGTGGCAGTGTGATTTGCTGCCTTCCTCCCCATCACCTATATCTGGCATTTCTCCC